AAATTATTAGCAACAGATAAATTGTCAGTTTAGACGATTGCAAGAAAATCTTTCAATTTCATTGCCAGGCAATTGTGAGACAATAAATTTATCTGCCAGATCTAAATTTTAACTGCAAATGTTCTTTTAATGCACCGTGTTGGCAATAGAAAATATGATTCCATTCCATGATTCCATTGTCAGATGCATAAAATTAGCACATCTGACAATAAAAATTGTCAGACAATTATCTGGCAATGGCGACGTAATGTGTTTACACGGTTGTTAGATGCCTGACAATATTGTTGTTTTACAATATACTGACAACACTTTTTCTTACAACGTTGCAAGACAAAAATTGTAAGTTCACACGGTTGTTAGATATTTTCTGAACACTTTTCTGCCAACGTTGGTAGATCTGACAACCGTGTATACATAGCTTAACATATCTGGGCTGTCAGATTAGTTCCAACGGAATTTTGCCAGATGAATCCGGTGTACGTGCAGCTAAAAATTTAAAACCCCCTAGTGATATCAAAGAATTGGAAGCTTTCATGAGTAAAGTATATTATTACCACAGTTTCGTGCAAAACTTTTCGAATTTGTTAAAAAGGGAAGGCGTTCCTTTCAAGTGAGGCACAGCTTAACAACAGGCTTTTAATCAACTGAAAAACACATTGTAAATGCAACACAATTATCGCATTTTCAGGATACATTGTCCTAAGTTCTCGCTACCGATGCTGCACCTTTGGTATAGGCGCGGTCATATCACACCTTTATCTCGATGTATTTGAAAGGTCAATTGCTTTCGCCTCAAAAACTCTAGATCAGCACCAAGTTAAGTATATTTAAATTGAGAAAGAAGAACTTGCAATAGTATTTGGAGTAAAGAGTTTTCACCAACACCTCTTCTATGGACGAATGTATATCCTGCTAACGGATCACAAGCCTTTGGTAAGCATTTTTAATACAAATAAGCATTTACCCACGATGACAGCTCACAGATTGCAGCGTTGGACCATTACCCTTATGGTATACCAATTTGAAATTAAATATCGTAGATCCACAGAGCACGGCAATGCTGACGCTCTATCGCGTTAACCTTTTGAAGGCGATGACAATTTTGATAAGGAGGAAGCATGTTTCAATATATTTCGAAAAATTTCCAATAAATACAGAACAAATTCGAGCACATGCTTCAAAAGATAAAATACTCCGTGAAGTACGTAATTTTATGGGAAAAGTCTGGCCGGATCATCTTACTTCTGAATATTCTCACCTCAATCCATTTTTTAACCGAAAGAACTCATTAACAATATATAACGATCTTGTTTGCCTGCAAACCGAATTTATTCGTGTTGTTATACCAGACACTTTAAAACAAAAAACTTTGGAGTTTTTACTTGATTACTGGTGTGTAGTGAAAATTAAGCAACTCGCCAGGCTGCATATTTGGTGGTGCATCATGGACGAGGATATAAAACAATTAGCTTCAAAGTATGAAATTTGTAAAATTGAAAACCAATTTCCACCAAAAGAATACCAAAGTTGGCCTGCACCAAATAAATCTTGATCGACTTTGCGGGACCCATATTTAATTGCATGCGGCTTATATGTGTCGATTCGTTTTCAAAATTTCCCTACGTTTCGTCAATGTCAAGTACAACATCAGAGGATACATTTACAGCCTTGTCAACTATATTTTCAATGTTAGGTATCCCTGACACCATTGTCAGCGATAATGAACCGCAACTAACGTCTGCTTCTTTTCAAAATCTTCGTAAAACTCTTGGTGTACATCCCCTATAGAGTTAATAAGAGGTAGGTACAGTTTGGTCTTAACTATTGGATAAGAAGAAAACCTCACAACACAACTATGCCACAACATTCCAACAAAACCAACAAGTTTACATTTGCTATTATGCAGTGGATTCTAGGAATCATAAAACATCCAATGGGCAGAATGCCATATTAAGTTAGCACTGAAATGGGTGACTGTAGGCGTCACTTAAATCAGATTAAACCCAGTTTTTCCACAAATTCAAACCAAATTCTCAAAATGATCTAAGTAATGATTATTCATAGTTATCGTTATCAGGTGAAATTTCGGATGTCGTTATTCGCCTGAGAGATTTCGTTGATATTAATCATCTTTTTTTTTGTTAAAAGAAAATTAAGTATCTATTATTTTAATTATTATTTCTTTCATAGATTTAAATTTTCTTAAGGAGGAGTATTGCTATATATTATTGGTTTATTTAAAGTGGGGAGGGTATATTGGATTTGTGCTGATGTTTGTAACATACAAAAATATTCGTCCTAGACCCACCTTAAAGTATACCAATCGGCTTAGAATCGTTTTCTGAGTCGATTAAGCTATGACCCAAGGACGAAGCCTATTGAAAATGGTTAAAATCGGTCCATTATTTCACCTAGCCCCCATAGAACAGAAACCCCCGAAAAGGGCTTCTGAGCTCATAATTATGTTAAATATAAAGATATATCGATAAAATACGGCACAACTAAGTTTTATAGAAGTCTTGATGACCCTGCCAAATTTCATAAAGATCGGGCCCCATTTGACCCTAGCTCCCATACAAAGTCCCCTTCAGAAAATTACTTGAATGTCCCAAATTAACTTATAAACACAAATATCGCGATGAAATTCAGCACAATATAATATTATGTAAATATAAATATATTCACAAAATTTTATCGGGCTTGGTCCATATTTGCCCCTAGCCCCCATATAAAGCCTCTTTCAGAAAATTAGTTTTTCATCCATAAATTGCTTAAATGTATCGGAACAAGGGAATATTGAAGATAAATGCTTTATTATGAAAAATAAATCACATTTAATATTCATAACTGGTGTAGGGTATCATATGGTCGGCCTCGCCCGACTATACTTTCTTACTTGTTAATATTGCAACTATGTTGTTAAACCCTTTTAATACAACTATGTCAAAGATGTTCAACTCCACCTTATATCGTCATATTGTTGGCAACCCATCAGAAAGATCTATCGTACATTTCAAAACATATTCGACAACACTCCCACCGGCTTCTCAGTAATGCCCTCAGATAAACTCTTTATCATTACAAATGTCCTGTCGCAGTCGAAAAGCATTACTTCTGGCAATGTTATGAAAGCTCTTTATGGAGAAAGGATAGAACAATACCAAAATCAAGGATTTGTAATTGTTGCAACGGATGCCTCAATTAATGCGGATAGCACTGCTTGCGGAGTCTGTAACATCCCGTGTGGGAACAATCTTCTCTTTAGAAACCACGACAACAGGAGAACTTCACCCCTTGGACAAGGCCGTTAACCACATTATATTCAATGGCTTCTCCAATTCTCTATAAAAGATGTCTGTTGTAAGGTTTGCAGCATATTATCATCCCAGTGGAACGAAGAATACAAATAATTAGCTGGTGAGAAAGACGCGGACTCTTTGGAGCTCTTCCCAAACTTGCCAAAGAATCACTGGTTCAAGAAATCTAACCTTCAACCGCGCGAAGTAAAAATTATAAATGTAATCGTCACAAGTTCAAATCTCTCATCCTTCGAAGTCAAATGATTAACCGGCTTCTAACTGGTCACACGTACAACAAACCATATCTCAAGATGATTGGATCTACGCCAACTGATTTATGTGATACATGCGACATACTCGAAGTTGACAACCACCTAATCTTTGTATGTCCAAAATATGCCACACAACGCCAACAGTTCCCTCTTTTTTGTATGTATGTCAGTCTTCTTGATGTATCCAAATTAAAACAAATCTCTTTCTACAAACAACTCATCAGATTCATCAGCGTATGTAAAATTGATCTATGAAAACCACTCTCTCTAAACTACCTTGCCTTGTCTTCTAACCCACCACTCACAAACACGATACTCTCAACCGGCACAAAATTACCTACAGCTATGTATACAAAAAACAAACCGATTTTCTTCACACTGTTACAAGCACCGTCACAAAGTCATACTCAGCTATGTAGAAAAGGGAAATCTACTGCTTAGCTTTTCACAACTGTGGGACACTTTCCCCAAATACATTCTAAAACCAACTAATGCTCTCATAATCATCAGTGTGTATCAACGTCTATTGTGACTTAAACAGCCCTGGCGTATAATCATATGACACATGCTTGGCCATTTACACATTAATTTCAATATTTTCATGTATAAACTAATCTTAGCTTAAGACCGCAGTAGTCATAGCTAAATTTAAGTTATCTTAAATTTTGGTAATAAATATGACAGCTAATAAATAAAATATTTCATTTTATGTTAATGTTGGGTTCTTCAACACTTTATTTAGTAGCATAACACCAGATAGCTGAATCGGAGGTCCCACTTTGAAAATTTCTTAAATAAAATTAAGAAACAATGATGTTCATAACTTAAAATTGATAAATTATCTATAAAATTAATTTATGATAAGATTTCGAGCCGAAAAAGTTTCGGGTCCATCTAAGATAACGACAATCTACTGATATTTCGGTAGAATTTCGTGCAATATTTTGGGAATTCAAACCGTTCTCAGAAGTTTAAACATGCCTTCTTTAAGGGTAAAATGGTTGAGAGTGCGCTGAATGAGGTTGCACTGATCACGGCTTGAATAATATGGACTACACTCATTCCGCGTTTTGGATGTAGAGGGAACTTTCAATAATATAAGGATTAGATGATTAGACATTTCTCGTGAAGTCGATTGTATATTTGCTTAACAGCAGAATTAAACTCATACCCAGAAGATCATTGCTTTAGGAGGAAGTTACCAGGAGGATGAAACATGGGGTCTTATATAGCCTCTATTGTGGCTACTAGCCGTTAACGGTATTCTAAGACTATAAATCTAAAGGTAGGAAGAGCGTTGCCTATGCGGATTAAGGGAAATTTTTATCCACCATCATATGTATATGTTATAAATGTTATTTTTGTTAATTATTACTTTGTAAAAAAAAAATTGCAAGTAAGATTAATTGATTAAAAGAATAATACTTACTATTGTTTGCGTTATTATTGCCTGAAGAATTATTACTGCTCATTAATGCCTTACGTCTTTGAGCTTGTATTTGTTGCTGCCTCTTCTCTTCTTCCTGCATTTGGCGGCGTTTTTCTTCTTCAGCTTGCATAAGACGACGTTTCTCTTCTTCCATCTGCATACGTTTGCGTTCCTCCTTTTGACGACGTTTTTCTTCATTTATTTCACGACGGCGCTCTTCCTCAGTTTTTTTTGAAATCTGATCAACATTTTCATTTTTAGGTTTGTTACCCGATTTCAGAACATTGTTGTTATTGTTAGTGGAATTTCGCTTATTATTGTTGTTTACGTGTGACTGAGTTTTTTCATTAACTGATGGTTGCAATGGTGCTTGGCGTTGATGTGGTTCTTGTTTACCATTATTATCATTTGAGGAAGAAACCTTTGTCACAGCATCAAGTGATTTTTGTAGTTCGATTGTTGACATTTGTTGCTGCTCCTGTTTATTATCTTCTGAGCGTTGCTGTTGTTTGTTTATATTATTATCAATATTTTGCTGCTGTTGGTCTTGAAGGTGTTTACCGGCATCCTTTACATGACGCTGATGTTCAAATGATTGCTGCTGCATTTGTTGTTGTAATTGTTGTTGTTCATGTTGTTGTTGTTGCTGAACTTGAACTTGTTGCTCTAGGGTGGCTACATCCCACATTGAAGCTGGTGTAGGTTTCGGTGAACCCATAATGTTACCGCCACCGTGCTGTTCCCGTGATAAATTTATTGTTGGTATTCCTACTAATGGTCCATTAAGCCACTGGTTATTTACACCGGCAGCTTGCTGAGGACTGCCCATCAAAGGATGTTGGTTTGGAAGATGATTTGTCTGATTGGACGCTAATGAATTCATCCACATTTGCATCATTGGACTTTGCGTTGCATTATTTGGAGGATTTTGTGTGGGTGTTGCACCTGCCCCAAACAACTGTTGATCACTTAAAAATTCATGACCATGCGAATTAGAAGCTGCTACCCCACCGCTGCCGCCTGCACCCGAATCGGAGCCGTTGTTTAGAAACATTCTCAGATTAAATTCATTCAACAAATCATTACTGTTCAGGTCATGTCCCGAATTTTTAGTCTTCATAATGAAATCCTCAGCATTTATATATGGCGTACCGGATGATGCATGGTGGTTAGACCTTTGCTGCTGCTGTTGTTGCTGAACCTGAGTCTGTGATTGTGGCTGGCCCTGATGATTGCTAAATAATTGCTCTTTCTTGGTACACTCGGCAATAGTGTCATACAACTGCGTACCAGCAGTTGGGTTTAAAGCCGCCAATGAATTACTTAAACCTGTTAAATTTGTAAGATACTCTGGCAACACCATCATTTGCAATTTTTGTCTGACAACAGCGTCTTGTTCAGCAGGACTTAATCGACGGAAACACTCATTTTTTGATAATTCATTAGCTATTTCAATTTCCTGATTATGTATAAAACGGTCCTGAAGTGTTTGGAAATGCATATTTAAAACTTGTGAAATATCTACAGAATTAATTAAACTCTTTAGGGCATTGCTTAAGGAATCAGCAGCAGCAGTTACACTACCTTTAAGCTTTTCATGCTGTTGCTGTTCATTTAATGTTTTAATAACAAAATCAGCCGCTTGTGTAGAGGGTTGTGCGGATATTACAGGGGCTAAAGGTGGCGTCAAAGGTGTTGTGTTCAAATCAATTGGTATCAAATGGCTATGACTAAAAGGCATTTGGCCATTGCAAATTTTAATTAATTCACCCAAAGGTCTGAATCGTACATCACAAACTCGTCGTACAAAAAGGTTTTCATTAAAGTAACCGGCGCGATACCATTCTGTCATTTCCAAAGCGGAAAATGGTCCTTGGACTTTAGCTTGAGGATCCCGATACAACCACAAATCTGTAGGAGCTGAGGAAGTCATAGGATGTGGTGGGGGTGGAGTAGGTTGTAAGCCAATGGCCGCGGCTGCTACGGCTGCCATTTGTTGTTGTTGTAACTGATGTAATGCAGCAATGTTGTGAGCGTGATCAACCATAATACCACCCATATTGTATAAAGACATATTAGGTGGACAACTTGGTCCTGACCCACTTCCCAACGCTGGGGAAACTGTTGTTGGATGACTTGAGTTTTGCGGTTGTTGCAGCGCTGATATAAAAACTGGTTGGGAATTTCTTTTATTGCCGCCCGACAACATCGACGTTTTCATATGATCGTCTTTAGTATCTTCATCATCCATTATTAATTTCTCTATCATGTCATCGGTAACTTTCATCATGCGTTCTGCATAATCTCCCGCGTTCGTATTAGTTACGTTGTTGTCTGATTCTTTAGTGTTATACTCATTTTCAGAATGATTTTCAATACTTTTCTGAAAAATACTTTCCTGTGCAACATCTACTGGAGAAACCTGATTCCGTGTGTTATTGCTGGGGTTTTGTTTTGATTTTTCATTAACACCTGAATTTTCACTGCTTTCCTGGTTAACCGGAATAGGTGGTGTGGGCGAGGGAGATGAGGAATCTTGATAGTTTTCAGTTTCTTTCACTGACGATGAATTATGGGACTTTGTAGATATATTGGAATTGTCATCCGAAGTTTTTGATATCTTTTCTTGAACATCTACATCTGATGACTTTTTTTCCTCGTTAGTTTGTTCAGACAAATCATTCTCATTTTGTTCTTCGGGGATATTTCCTGCATGTACGTCATCATCGACCGCACCATGAAAAGCGCCACTTGCATCAAAAGTACCACCAATATCTGAAGGATTTTCCATTGCCCATTCTGGCAAACCCATTTCATCGTTACCACTACCATCACCTTGAATATTGTTCATTTGCCCAACTGTTGCGCTATTGGGCCAAATATTTCCACTAACCGTGTTTCTACTTCCGGAAGATGTAACAGACATTGAACGCGTAGGTGCACCTGTTTGTTTACCCGAAACACTTGATTGTCCTATACGTTCACTTTGTGTTGTTGATATGGTTGAATTTGAACGCATCATCATTATACCTCCAGCTCCGGCAATAGTAGCACCACTACTACCAACCATTCCTGAGTTTTCATTGTTATTTGCTAGTTCATCATCTCTCCAACTCGTGGATCTGCCCCAACGTGTATGAGAATTTTGAAATCCAGATGTGTTCATTCTCCATCCACCATCAGCAGAAAATGTAGCAGCAGATGATGCCTCACCACCTGATCCATCTTCATTACGGCTACGTCGCCAATTTTCCATATTTCTGGGATGATTGCTAAATTCTCTTCGGGGACTTGATACCGGCGTATTTCCATTCCAAGCATCCGCTCCCAACCCTCCACCAACTATTGTTGAAGGACCAGACACAGCCGGATCGCCAGCGGTTGCCCCACCATTTCGTTCAGCCCATGACCGATCGGTCTATAAATAAAAAAAATATATATAGATACATATATATTTATGCAATACTAGTCATTTTTATGAGAAACATATTTGTTGTCCTATAAATGTTAAATGTTAGAATTGTTACCGCTTGAGAACGCTTTATCTTTCTAAAGGCGTCATAAACGCCAAACATAATTGTCTGCGAGATACCATTTTACTATTAGCGTTAACGTAAAATATACCTAAGGGAAGGACTTGCCGTAAATCCGAAAAAACTGAGCTTGTACTTTTTTCAAGCAAAAAGATTAATACGTTCACACTGCATAGTATTCGAAATACGCAATTTGGCGTCATTAAATTAAAAATTGTATAAAACAAAACTAAATTATTATTTTCTACTGTAAAACAAGTTAATAAATACACTTTAAGCATTTTTTTGTACATGGGCAATTTCGTGTCAAGTGAAACAACTCAAAAGATCGTTTTGGGTGAAATTTGCACCAAAGTTATTAATACTGGATAGTAGGCCAGGCACAAATTTTCTGCTCTATCGGTCGAGAACTGCTGGAGTTAGAGGTGGCCAAAGTTGGATATTTTGGTCATACAGGGTTTTTTTCAAATGAGTGTAACTTCCTACTAAACAATTTTTCGTACCGACAGTCTGCACAAGTTTCCGATTAGCCTGACTATTCTGATCAACGTCTGATGAAAACTATTTTCATATATATAATTTATTACGGTTAAATTTTATTAATTTTAATAATAATTTATAAACTTCCATTATTCAGGACTTCTTAAGAGTGCATAAATAAATAATAGAAACTTAATTTTTTTTTTAATTAATAAAATTAAACCATACTACTTACATATTATATACGAAAATGGAGTTCATTATAACATATATTTAAAATTATGTAATTTTTTTTGCTAATTTTTGTGTATTAACAAAGTTTAAAAAAAATATAAACAATAATCATCACATATGCAGATGTTGTTTACTTGATTTCCAAAGACCAACTGAGAAAATAAAAGAAAATTAAAATTAAATTCCCTTTTAAAGTACAGTTGACGAATTACAAAATATAAACAGGTTTGTGCATGATTTTTATTTAAAAAAAAAATCCCTCAGATAATGTGCAGAGTTGTCGCAAAGTTTTCTTACAAAAGTACTGAAAATGGGAACAAAACGACCGAGCAAAAAATATCAGAAAATGTGCAGATCATTCTGTTAAATATCTAAAGGAAATTTATATTATTCGCTTAATTGTCTGATGAAGTTATAAAACTCTTCAGATTATGTGCAGATTTATCGGATATAATTCTTAAACCATTTTATATTTTACTTCAGAAAATGTACAGACTCTTCTCCTTTATGTCTAAAAAATAATATAGGAATAAAAAACAAATTGTCCTCCTCCAATGTGCAGATTAGTCTCATAATTGTCGTAACACTGAAATTCCCTTTCGACAATGTGCAGACAAGTCTGATGTTAATCGTTTTATACTTCAGAAAATGTGCAGAGAAGTCTAACAAACAATTTGCCGATTAATCTGTAAAATGTCTGAAGGAAATTTAGAAATACGTTAAAAATTCTGATAAAGTATAAGAATTATTTCAGAAAATTTCTGACATCAGACATGTGTGAAAAAATTATTTACTGGGTTTTCACTTATTTCTCCTAGCAAAAATTGTTCAAAGGAGTTTATATAGATATTTCTTAACTATTTCCAACTGTTAAAATATTTTTTTTGATAGATATCCCACTTAGTAACCACGAAGCTTTTAGGGAAAGCTTTATTCTTTTCTTCTTTAAGCAAAAAAAAAAAAAAGCAAAATAAGGTCCATTTTGAAAAATAAGAAAAAATGACAATGATTTAAAAAATATTTTTTTGATAGATATCCAACTATCTATAAGGGAAATTGTACAAGCTTTCTTTTGAGCAAATAAAAATTTTTTGCAAACAGTATAGGATAGGCGTAATTATCTACAATGTCAAAAGATGAATCTAAAATATATATAAATAATATTACGTATTGAGGTCGGGACTTTAATTAATCATTCTGTTGAAAAAAAATTCGTCGACTGGATTAGCGCTCTTATTTAAAAAATCGGGATGATAAGTTTATAAAGTCGGTATGATGCGTCTTCAAAATTCATCACTATTTTCCTGAGTCATTCAAAATTGGTGACAGTGTCTTTTGGCGAGAATTTGAATTCTAGGATGTTCAGGAAACACGGTAATGGTATATATAAAAAAATTTAAAATAACATTTTGTATACAAAAGTAATGCCTGTGTAAAATTTTGTACGGATATCATTGTTTGGTAATGAGTAATGTGAATTTAAGTGATATTTGGGAGGGGACCTTATATGGGAGTTATGGCCAAATATGGGCCGATCGTGAATTTTTTTTAAATACAATTTTTGTAAACTAAATTAATATTTGTGCCAACTTTTGAATGGATATCATTATTTGGTAATGAGTTATGTGTGTTTAAGTGATTTTCTGATGGAGATCTTCCAGGGGAGCTATGACCAAATATGGACCGATCGTGTAACCATTTTAAAATTAAATGTTTGTCTACAAAAGTAATATTTGTGGCAAATTTTGTATAGATATCATTATTTGGTAATGAGTTATGTGCATTTAAGTGATTTTCGGGAGGGGACATTGTATGGGAGCTAAGACCAAATATAGACCGATCATGAAAACATTACAGTATCATTTCTATATACAGTGGTGGAAAATATATAGAAACGACCTCAAATAAAAGGTATTTAACTCATATTATTTATAGATTTTCTTGCTTCATCGCATTTGATTGATATTCAAAGAAATTGGCATTGGAAAAAATAATAGAAACGGTTCATAGTATTGCATAGGAGACATAAGGTAAGATTTTTTGAATGGATTTTTTATTTAATTTTGAAATTTTTAATTATTAATGAAGTTCTTTACATAAATATATACTTTTTACTTTGTTTTTTATTAGGTTTAAAAGTGACTTAAATATCACAGTATTTTGACAAACAGGAAAAATTATTTAAAGCTAAGACTGATTTAACACGAGAAGTTCAAAATAACCTACCTTAAAATCAATATGAATTTTAAAATTTTTTCAATTTTTTGAACTTTTTGTGTTAAATTTAACTTTATGTAATATTATTTTACCAGTTTGTCAAGATATTTGATATTGAAGTCACATTTTGACCTCATGAATTGGGTTGAGTTACAAAAAATTAAAATTTTGCTCAAAATTTTGACCAAAAATCGGTGGATTACCATTATCTATAAGTGGATCTAAAACTTTTTTTATATAAAATTTGACAATGAAAAGTAATTTCTTTCACTATCTGTTCATTTTATTTAAGAAATTTTGAATGTAGGACCCCTGAATCAGCTGTCAGGAACTATGTGATAAATTAAACGATGAAAAAACGATCGTTATAGTCATAGAAAACAAAGTAAAACTTATATTTTTATATTAAGGACTTCAATTATAATTAAAATGTTTAAAATTAAATACAAAGCTATGATCAAATATGAACCGATCGTGAAAGAAATTTTCAGTATCATTTCTGTATATAAAGGCAGTACTTGTGCCAAATTTTTGTATGAATATCATCATTTGGTAAATGCGCTTGAGTGATTTTCGGGAGGGGACCTTGTATGGGAGCTACGGATTACTAACCTACGGAAGTCAAAAATTGTAAAGAATGTGGTTTAAAAAAAATTTCTTATTAATGTAGTTAACAGTTCAATGTCCGAGCTCAAGAATTTGTAGTGAATCGTGAAGATGCGGTTGGGACAATACCGATTAAATCGAACAAATTCGGACGAGTTTTGGCATGAGAGAGGATTCGAAATGAAAAATTGGTCGATAGTATACTAAAACGTGTAAACAATTAATTACGTAATAAAACAATTTAATTTATTTATTTCCATATTAAGCAACAGTTCGATTGTGGCCGACAGTTATTTTCTGGAAAAAAAAAACAGATGTCTTTGGCCGAGTATGACTCAGGTCTTTCTGGAGCGAAGATCCAATTATATTGAGAACAAGTGAGTTATTTTCGTATTGTGTGGTTTTACCTATAATCGAGAAAGTACAGATAAAGAATTCATAATAAAATAATACATTGGAATATAGAGTTCTTTGAACTTATAAACCAGACACTTCAATTAGGCGATTTAGGATGATCTTTTTATACCCACCATCAAAAAAAAATACCCCAAATTTTTTGATTGATTGATTTTGTCACTCCGTTTGTAACACATTGGAATCGAGCTAGATAGTTAAGATTTTCCACAAATATTCCTTATAGGTAAGGTTTGTTTGGTATTGCAAAAGGCAATATCGGTCCACGTTTTCGCATAGCTCCCATACAAGTGGCCCCCCTAAAAACTGCTTTAACAGTCACAACTGTTTTGAAAATACGAGTATAGCGATGAAATTTTACATAAATAAGTTTAATATGCAACAAAATCTCTCTACCAAATTTTAAGGCGATCGGTTCATAATTGACCCTACCCCCCATATAAGGTCCCCTTCAGAAAATGACATTAATACTCATTAACGGCTTACAAAAACGTTTATGTAAGTCAAAATCTCTCTACCAAATTTTATGAGGATCGGTCCATAATTGACCCTGGCCCCATATAAGGTCCCCTTCAGAAAACGACTTCAACGCTCATTTCTGGCTTAAAAATACGAGTACAGCGATAAAATTTGACATAAATAAGTTTTATATAAGCTAAAATATCTTTAACAAATTTTATCGGGATCGGTCCATAATTGACCCTACCCCCCATATAAGGTCCCCTTCAGATAATGTCTTTAACGTTCATTACTAACTTAAAAATACGAGCACAGCGATGAAATTCGACATAATTAAGTTGTATATGCATCAAAATGTCTTTACCAAATTTTATGTGGATCGGTCCATAATTGAACTTACCCCCACATAAGGTCCCTATCAAAAAATGATTTAAACCCTCACTACTGACTAAAAAATACGAGTACAGCGGAGAAA